CAAATCTTTTGAAACTTTGCATGCTTATTAAACCATTTACACCAACATGCAAAAATTCACGGTTATTCAATATTGTATGCGCACGCAACGTCCGCTCAAAGTTTGCACGTGCGCAAGGTGAGAATTTTGCTCATTCGAGATTTCGATTAGATTCTGCTTTCCCACGAAAGTAAAATGGCATATGAATTAAATGCCAACTTGAATGAGTAAAAAATGCCATATTCAGTCAGTTATCGACAGATATGCCTACCTAAACACAAGGAAATGTTTTCAAAATCGTTGAAATTTAAATTATGAGTTTACATTTCGACCTTGTAAAGTACCCAGACATTATAATCAAAAAGAGATGATATTTGACCAAAACCCATGATCATGGGTAGAGTGGACCGCTGCCAGTGTCTCTCTTTCCCAAACAAAGGGAAATGTTATTAATTTGAATGACCGTCCACAAATGCAAAATGATACCGAGAATGAAATCGGTCGCAGCGGTCCACTCTACCCATGATTATGGGTTTTGGTAAAATATTATTACCCAATTTTGGGTTTTGGTTGAAAACTATTTTCAATGGAATTGAACATGAAATAATTTAAGTTTAACTACATCAACATGTATAATACGTGTTTTAATACTTTCAACACTACTATATAACAAATAATTTGAGCCTGAAGATGGCTTTGACGCCGAAATTTATCCAATTTCCCGTAAAATAATTCCTCCTGTCCTATCCCTAGATACCTCGCAATGCAAATGTTTACATGTAATAGCAGATAATTCTCAATTCAGGGGTGTAGGAATTAGACACTGATTATGTACACATATTTTAGCATTTTTACTGCTTAACGACTGCTTTTCTTACTTATATTACTGTATACAAATTGATTTGTTTTTAATTTGGATTTTTGATGGTTTTGAATGTCTTCTAGCGTTCATATTACTGTCCGTTTATAATTATAAGTCCGTTCATTTAATGTCCGTTCAAATAAGGTCCGATAAGGTATGTGTTACTGCTTGAGTTTGGCCCCTCCCCTGTATATAATCAAGTGTGATGTAATTAATAAGGGGGAACTGAGATGTGCTGAAATTGTGCTAAATAACTGCTTGATACGTTGATTGAGTTTGCCCCCTTTCTTCAAGATTCCTTAGCCACTCGATGTGGTCATACTATTCACGTGATCAATTCTATCCAATGATTGCAAATACTGCAGCCGCTAGCAGGAATTTGTTTGTAATTTCACAATTGTCACTGTTTGGAATTGTTTCGCTTGCAATTTCATGAATTTATCTTCACCGCTTGATAAATTTATTTTATGTTTATACTATTGGATACGTAAGGGCACTCCGAATATACAGGGTGGGCCAAAAGTCAGTGTGCAAACGTTGGGTCTTATACCTCCGCCGTGTTTTATATTTGAGAGCTGTTGCTTTGCAGATGGCATACTGTACTTACTGGTTCGAGGATTCCGTCGTCAAAATTTGAAAATTCGAATATTTTAGACCACGCCCATTCAATATTAAAACACCTATATTGTTTTCTTTGAACATGCTGAACGCCTAATTTTTTTAGAGACGGTAGATTATCAAATGTTGCATATGATCTGAAAACATGAGGCAAAACGGATTAGAAATGACGAAGTTATCAAGCATTTTGTGTATCTCGTTAACAAAATTGACTAGGTGATTATGTGACACCGTGACACAACACCTTAATTGGGCACCCTTAACAATTCCCATAATGTTTAACGGGGTAGTTAACGGGGTCACCTTATCACGTGATTAGGTAAACCAATCACCTGATCACACGTAATGAATAAACTCGTTATGCTTCATATCTCGGTCATCTGAGAAGCTACAGTTCTTATTCTTTCAGGACAAACGTAATTCGAATGGCCAAACACAATTCAATAACATTTAGCTTGATCCGACTATCCAAACTATCAAATAAATGTGAAAATGAACCTCCATTTGAAAAAAATGAACGCGAATATTTTTCGAGTTGACAAATTCCTCGAACCAGTGGTGGTACTAAGTCATACCAGAAGGAAGTATTTCAATTGGGCACTCAGTGACTGAGCTATTAAGGCCAACGTTTGCACACTGACTTTTGGCCCACACTGTAGAATTGCTCACCTAAATATGCGGGTTTTGACTGAGCGGGTATAACTAAATACTCCTACCCTTTTTAACTGCGGCAGTAAAATCCCGGCCGAAGGCCGGGTTACACTTGTATTTGTATATTTGTGTTAATGCCTGATATATTTCATGATAGTCAATTAACTTCGCCACAGACTTCAGACACACATGAATATTATTACATGGGAACAGGTCACCCATGTAAATAGCACCTAGGCAACGGTGTATCGACTGTTTGACGATCCCATTAAACAGATTTAGAAGTAACACCCACCAGGAACACTGCACACTCCTGCGAGTTGCACATAGCAGGCCATGACCTCTCCTGGAAGTCCCTGTCTCTCCGTCTTTAACCCGACGAGGTTGCAC